AGGTGGGGATGTGAGAAAAGAAAATCCATCCCTTTAGCCGGGACAAAGTATTTTCTTTCCGCTCTTCGGTTGGTGGGAGGTGGGGATAGAGGCTGGCGTCTGGCTTCGTAACAGCCTCATTGATAGGTAATGCTTTCTTGGAGGACGTAGAGGGTTGTAATCTTTTGAGTAATTTGTATTGTTTATCTTGCACCTATTGGAGTGTAATGTTCTGCGACTGAGTACTCACTTGAATAATTCTTGGAATTGTTTCAGATTGTCCACTGGTGGAGAGGACGATGATTGAAAAACTGCTTCATCGGGTGAAGCAGAAGATTGTGGGCCTTGTGAAGAGGTCTCTGAATCAGTTTGAGGTAAGTTTTCATCTTCATCTCCTGGATCTGCCAGGATTATCATCAAAGAAGGGCAACAAGATGGTGTTGAATATGCAGTGGTAGTTGGAGACCATGTAGCTGTATACACTGGTGATGGGGCTGGTGTATTGCGTGGGTGGTGGCAATGAGAGAAGCAGGTGGGATATTGGTGCCATGGCTCCCAAACAGGACACTGAGATTGAAACTGTTGCAGTGGATACGGCCATGGATGGTTAAATCACAGAAGTTGTGGGGGTTGTTGGAAAGGTTGGTGCTGTGTGGAGCGCCATGAAGCCACCGATCCCATTGGGTATGAGTGCTGTGATGAAAATCTACTCCCCTGCTCGGAGCCATGTGCTATTTGTGGTGACACTGGTGTGGAAGAAAACAGGCCTTCACTCTGTGTTTGTAAGCAACAAGTAGTCAGACAGTTTATTCAAGCAATATTGCAAGAGAAGATGCTGCTGCTGCTAGGCAGATTGTCAAATACAAAACAATTAGAAGCCAATATATATACTCTCTGTTAATATATACCAAACAATTATTCCCCTTTCCATAACAATTCCCTTCAGACACCACCTTATCTCAAGGTCTTCACTAGAGTCAGTATTCTATTCTTATCTCAAGCACAAGAAATGAGAGGGAAAACAGCATCTCTCACAGTACTCTGCGTTGTTAGGTCTCAGAGTTAGCATGAGTTAGGCTAACCAAAAGGTCAAAAAGGCTACATACAAATCCCTTGGCTTCCATACTGGTGTGGGAGAGTAAGAAAGTATTTCTGCCATTTTCCTATGCGGGCTGGAATGAGGCATTGTTGGAGAGCATGGTGAAGCTACTCCCTGCACCGATGGAAATAGCATGGCCAGTTGCGAGTCTTTCTACGTGCCACATTTTGCTCATCGCTTTTTTATGCTCCAGTGCTAGAGCGCGCTTTAATGCTGCCTTGTTCAATCAGTGCCGGGTTGTCTTTGGATGCTGGCAGTGGCAGCATGTCTGGCTTTGTTGGTGCCAGTCATTTGATTGCATTGGAGGGTGCTAAGGGGGCGGTTCGCCATTTCGGTTCCGACTCCGCTTTCTTTGCTGAGGTTGGTTTACGTTTCTCCATTGTGCCGGAAGTTGACAGCACCAGGAACAAGCAGTCTGGGATGTGGCAGGCAGTGATTGTGCTGGGGAAGTGCATGCGACTGAAGTGCCTCTATGGAGCGATGAGCTAGCCCATGTCTTTGGGGGCTTATACCCCAGTGGCTGGAGGGGTTTCTCCCTGAGAAGATTCTTCAACCTCATTTCATGATCTTTGCTCTGGCTGTCATGTTTTGATAATGCGGGCACTTTTGCACTTTGTGGTTTTTGCCTAAGCATTTTATACAAAAGGCATGTCTGTCAGAAACTGGCATTGAGTCCCGACATGACCTGCATTCCTTAAAACCAGGATGAGGGGGGGGGGGTGGACACGGGGGGGGGGGGGGGGGGAAAGCTGAGTAGGAAGGCAAAAAGGAAAACCCTGGGGAAGCGTTTTGGGTTTTTTTTCCTTCTAAAATAAAGCACTAGGTAAACGAAGGCAAAAAGGAAAACCCTGGGGAAGCGTTTTGGGGTTTTTTTCCTCCTAAAATAGAGCACTAGGTAAAACTAAGTATAAACTGATTAAAACTATGAACAACTGTTCTAACTAACTAGACTATTTTACTATTTTCTGTAAGAAAGGAGAGCATTAATGTGACTCCATCTTCAGCTGAGGATGGTAGAAAAGGAACTGAGGGAAGCTTGAGCTGTGCGTTAACCTAATAGGTGAAAACAGTGAGAGTCAGCACTGCTAGGCAAAAATCTCTGATCAGTGGTATGAGGATGCACTGAGACCTCAGTGGAGCACCCACAGGGACACCACTCAAGGGAGAACGAGGCTTTCTATGATGAAGACTTCCTGATGTCTTTGCTTTTATCCAATGATTGATCCTGAAGTATGATGTGTGCTCAGGGGATGCTCTGGGCAATGCTGGCTAATCTGGCCTTACTCGAGTAATGATCTTCATTTCTGGGTCTAAAATTATCTTCTTCGATTGCTATGACAGAGACAACTTGAACTGGGTGTCTTTGTATTTGCAAGTCCTGGAAGAAAATGACTTGGACATAGAGCACCTGGCTGGGATATGGAATTCCCTTAGGCAGAAAAGGTTGACCCATCCTGTTAGGGATCAGTAATTCACAGGAAGGTAGAATTTAAGCTCTTAAAATTTGGAGTCTAACACATGGTATTAGGTTTTGTCTCAATGCCATTGGTGGTAAGAAGGAACTATGGGAGGGTCAGGGCTATTCTATCTTTAAGCTCTCATTTAGGAGCATGAGGCAGCACAGAGTACATGTGTGGCCTTGCTATCAAAAGAATCTGATCTCGCATGAATTAGGCATATGCACACCTAGTGTAAGATTCGCACAGAACTTGAGAATCTTGATCAAAATATCAACAGGTTATAAATAAGCATTTAGATCAGTGGTTCTCAAACTTTTTTGCCTGTGGCCCACCCTGCTCAGAGCAGACCTTTCTGTGGACCACCAGCCAACCACTCATGATGTCAAAATGGGTGCAGGAGTGGGTGGGGAGTATGGCTGGGAGGTTGGGTGCAGTAATGGGGTCTCAGCAAGAATGGGCATGGGAGTCCGAGTGGGTCTCAGCAGGTGGAGGACACAGGAGGTCTCAGCAGCTGGGGGGCAAAGTGCTGGACTCCCTACTGTGAGGGGAAGGGGCAAGCCTGCAAGGTGGCTGTGGACCATGAGTGATCTGAGGACCACACTTTAAGAACCACTGATTTAGCCCAAGAGAATTTTGCAAGTCACAGATGTCACATTGCTCTTCAATGCTAGATGTGGAAAAGAAAAGAGGCTCCTATAATCTATGCCAGAAATCTGAATGTCAAGTGTTATTTAATAGGCACTCTAACTACTCTGATATCATATAATCCAAATATCACAGGAGCATATAGACTAATAGAAAAAGACAAAAAACATGAATGGGCCAACCTATTGACTTATCCTTAGTTCAACAATGGCCATATGTTGGATTTACTCCCCTCAAAAATTCAGAATTAGTCCTTCCAAAAAGTTTTTAAAAATGGCCAACTGGTCATGCAGTTTACTTGTCAGTTGTTCAGGTTGGCATTTTTGCCACAGAGCAAAAAGAGCTTAACAGAGCTTGTGACTAAAGCAGAGCGGAGAACTTTTTTTGAGTTCGGGGCCATTAAGACACACAAAAAAATCAGTCAGGGGCCGCACACAAGTGAGAAGCAAAAGAAAAAAACCCCCACTGATGTGGCCGCCATATGAGAAAAAGCAAGTCATTCCTCCCATTCCCCTTGCACATCAGAGCCTAGGGGGCCCCAGAGTAGTAGATTTTGTGTTTTCCAGTCCTGCAGTAAGACAGTGGAGAGGCTGAAGAGCCAGCGCAGGCTCCCCAATGTTGGTGGGAACCCTGAGCCTCAGGGGCCGGATCTAGGCCAACTGGGGGATGTATCCAGCCCCTCGATCTGAGATTCTCCCCCACCCTCAGCACAGACTAAGACTCAGGATTGATATAAAAATTCTATTCCCATTTCTGCAACAGACTTACTGGGTACCCTTTGACAAGTCACTTAAATTTTCCATGCCTCCTTGTTCCCATCTTTACAATTGGAAAGACATTATTGACATACATGCCACTGGTTAGAAAACTGAGGATTACTTAATGCCTGAAAATTGAGAATCCTAGAAGGAAATGCAAATTATTAATGTAAAAGCAATAATATTAATAGTTGATGTAGCATGGTCTGGCCACTTACACAGATTGTGCCTTTTCTGTCTGTCTAGATACCAGGTCATTCCTCACCATGGTATCTCAGCACTTATAGCATTCAAAAGATCCATATGCCCATTTTAAATGAATAGTAATATTTGTAGGGAAGGATATGTTGATGTTGGTCTACTGTGTATACTTGTCAGAACATCTTACTTGAAAAATTGAAAAATTAAAAGTTATCTTCAAAAGCACTGAATCAGCCTGTGATACCTAACGGTGTAGTAATGCTGAAATTAAAACAAAATAAAAGGGATCTTGAAAGATTTAAAAATTTAAAACTCGAAGCACCTTGCTCTTCAGTCAGACACCTCTAAAGTCAAGTGATTTTCACACTGTAGATCCGTAATAAGAAAACACAGCCATCAACATCATTTTGAGTTTGTTACTAGTTTTATGTCCTGTTTTTAAAAAAATGCCTGTTAAGGCATGACTGACAAACCCTTCTACTGTTGGCAAACATCAATATACTCTACAGTAAGGACACTGTAAATCCTGTATGGATTTATGAAAAGTAAGGACTTGTTTTAATTGCGCAAATACACTTAGTCCTTTCCATTAGTTCAGGAAAACAGACGTCACCACAAATCCACATACAAATTAGGTAGTGAAATGAACCCAAACTGAAATCACTGGTACATGTAGTTGCATGCTTACATATTACAGACATTAAAACTATAAAATATGTATAACAGCACACACCCTTTGAATTGTATGGGAACTAGGATACTTGAGCCAAGATACACATGCAAGAGCATACAGAAATAAAATCTGAACATGTTTCCCCCACTTTTCAGCACATATCTTTAAACAAAACAAATCCTTACCCTGGAACCCAGCCAGTGGCTTCTGTTATGTGTGTCTGAGTGACCATTGCTGGCGCTGGGGTAAATGGGCTCCCAATCAGAACGCTTCCTGAATTGGTCAGTCTTTGTGGTGTGCTTATGATCTATGAAATTTAGAAACAAATTATGTTCTATAAAACAATGTAAAAGTAAATGGACATAAATCAACATTAATCATGGTCTTAAGCAAAAGTGAAACAATTTTAGTATTATGTAAACTGCAGTCATACGTACTTAACAATGAAGAGGCATCACTTAAAAATGCAACCTCCAATTATCCTGTAACACAGTGGTTTTCAAACTATGGGTTGCAATCCAGTACTGGGTCACGGAATGTCAGGCACTGGGTCTCATTGCTTCAGGATGATCAGGTGACCAAGCAGACTACCTGCCTGTCCTGGCACCGCAGACTACACTGCACCCCAGAAACGGCTGGTAAAAGTCTGGCTTCTACGTGGGGGTGGAGAGTGCACAGGGCTCCGTGCACTGCCTCTCCACTGAGCAATAGCTCCACACTCCCATTGGCTGGAAACCTGCTCCTGGATGCTTCTGGGATGCAGCATGGTCTGTGGAACCAAGAGAGGCAGGATGCCAGTCTTAGCATCCCCGCTGCCCAGGAGCCGCTCAAGGTAAGCCCCTCCTGCCACAGCCCTGCCATGCTCAAAGCCGGAGCCCCCTCTTATATGTCAAAGCTCTCTTCCTCAGCCCCACTCTGGAGCCCACATTCCAGTCAAATTATGTTGGGTCATGAGCATCAACAATTTTCTTCAATTGAAAAAAAAAAGAAAAAAAATTTAAAGCCACTGCTGTGGCCTTAACGTGAGGTCCAGTTCCACTGTCTTTTGGCAATTTCCTTCAATTTAATGACATCACTGAGAGATAGATGTTCTTAAGTAAAAAAAGAGTATAAAATTGAACTTTTTTCCTCAAACACGTGTTTTCAAGGCATGTGTCACAGGTAAAAGGCAATTGTTCCAGTATATATATTAAAATAAAAAAGTCTGCAAGTCTGTAGAGGAATTATATAATCATATACAGGGCTTGACAAACTCCGGCGAGAGCTACTCGCCAGCCCCACACCGCGCATGAGCCAGATCGGCACTGCGCATGCGCAAAGCGCTGGTGAATGGGGCGCACGGAACGATCAGCTGAAATCTACTCGCCATGAGTGAGTAGATTCAGCGGTTTGTCGAGCCCTGATCATTTTTATATATACACACACACACACACACACACACACACACACACACACACACACACAGACACGCACAATTATGAAATCTATACCTTAACATTCTGATTTAAATGTTGTCTACATTAAAAGAGACCCGTTGCTGGCAACAGATGCAGCTGAATCAGTTCTGAACACAGATTTCAAGCGAAGACATGGACAAAACAGTCAATTGGGAGCACAGATCAGTTTTGTAGTGTAGACAAAGTCTAAAAACACAATTGTTGTGACCTGTTGTGGCTGCATTTACAATGGCTGGTTACATACTACTAAGATACTATTTGGCCGCAACAGAAGTTAAACTATATATAAATAAAGGTTACTTACCTGTTACAGGAGTTCTTGAAGATGTACTCTGCATATTCACACTTATGGAACATGCTGACTGGATGCAGTTTGGATATAGAACTTAAACTAGCAGTTAAAGTGTTCAAATATCCTTTCCCTCAGCAGTAGCAAACATTTTGCTGGTCAGACTATAAAAGTGGGCATTGCACTCTGGCCACTTCACTTCCTTCCATTAGGTATTAGGACTCCAGCAAATAGGGGAAGATGAGCAGGGAGTGTTCATATGCAGAGTCTATCTCAGAAAACTCCAGTTATTTCATTTTCTTTTTTAAGTAGTTTCCCCAGTAATGCCATAAGCTCTGTGGGATCTAGAGTCCTATTGAACAAAGAATGAAGAACAGACTTGCCAAATGTAGCATCTGATCTGGATGCCAAGTCTAAAAAATTATGTTGCATAAAAGCGTGGCAAACACTATGTCATTGCCTTGTATATTTCAATACGTGGGATGTATCTTTTAAAAGCCACAGCCACTACTTGGGATGTATTGGAATGGTGGGAGTAGGACTGATGCTGACTTGGAAGCCTCATGAATACATAACCCACCTAATCTAAAAATGTTTTGTGTGGATCTTTTTTATTCCCTAAATAAGATCCAACCAGATTAGCAGAATAATTGACATTGTTAGTCCCATCTAAATTAAAATACGCACTTTTGATTCACATACATGACTACAGGCCCCAGGAAAAGTATAGGTAGACTGATTGATTAGTGTGATATTAAGTAGCTACTTCAGGCAAGAATTTTGGATGAAGGAATAACTCTATTTTATCTTTATGAAAAACAATGAAAGGTGGTTCAGAAATAAATGCCTGTTACTACAGCACAAAGGTACTAGTTAAAACAATTGTGAAAGCCATTTTAATGGATACATGGAAAAGTGAACACTCGCCTAAAAACTCAAATGACTGTTTTTATTGGAGGATACTCATTTGACAAACTTTTAAGAAACTTTTTCACTAAATAAGGAGTAAATAATGATTTATTATAAACACTCATATGAAATCCAGGAATAGCAGAAAAATGAACTCATATAGATGACAATGAAAGACTAGAGGATTGAAGATACAGCAAATATTCTAATATGGTTTGAACTGGAGCTGTATATGGAACAATATTGTTATCATTTGACCATAATAGAAATCTTTTTCCATTTATTCAAACATTTAGGTGTGGACTTTTTCCTAGCACTGAATAAAATATTTTGCACTTCTAGACAGCATGGCTGTTAATGATTCACTTCTGGGTCATTAAAGCAAAATCTAATGGAAGGTGACAGAAGACTCCTCTGGAAAGTTGCAGCAGGCCCAAGAACCACCATTATCGATCCCATACTATGGCTATTAGAATCACCATGGCTCCATCCTGTTTTATCTTGTTTATTACTCCCTAAATCAGTAGGAAAGGGATAAATGAACGAAGACCCCATCTTATTTTAACAGAAATTCATCTGAAAATGGCTGTTCACCTCCGCATACCCTTGAACAAAATTTGAGGCATTTTGTGCTGCAGCCAGACATGAAGTGTTCTATGTCATGGTACCCCTAAAAAGTAAAAGAAATGTATTGCTGAAACAGTTTGTGACTACTTACATATTTGTGATGCATTTCTGCTCAGTTGATCTGCAATGCTTTTGCATTTCCTTTTAGGAGTATGGCTACTAGGAATATGTCTTGTTGACTATACCAGTCCCAGTTGCCATATTCCTAATATAGAACTACAAAGAGCTGAAAGTGTATCTCCATACCCATTAATCTAAACATCTGCACAATTCAGGAGCTTGGGAGTAATGCAGAAAGGGAATTACATAACATCCTTAAGTTAAGAGTTAGTATGAGTGAGCACCCTCTGCTTCATTCAGAGACTGTGCTTATCGTTCCTTGAACCATCCTGTAGCTTATCCATGACAAAAACAACAAATCAGTTTAATTTCTGTGCCAGAAAAGATAATGGAGCAAGTAATTAAGGAAATCATCTCCAAACACTTGGAAGATAATAAGGTGATAGGCTATGTCTACACTAGCCCCCTTGTTAGAATTAAGTCCTTAGTGGAATGAGGTGTAACAGTTATTTGAACTAAGGACTTAGTTCAAATTAACGTTTGACTGCCGCGTGTAGCCATGGGCAGTTAGATCGGACTAGTGGAATTTAAAAATGGCGACTGGACGGGACCATGCAAATAAAGCCTGGGATATTTAAATCCCAGGCTTCATTTGCAAGTTTAAATGCCTACATTAGCCTCCCTAGTTCTAACTAGGGGGCTACTGTAGACATACCTATAGGGAACAGCCAGCATGGATTTGTAAAAAACGAATGTCAAACCAATCTGATAGCTTTCTTTGATAGGATAACAAGTCTTGTGGATAAGGGAGAAGCAGTGGATGTGGTATACCTAGACTTTAGTAAGACATTTGATATGGTCTCGCATGATATTCTTATCAATAAACTAGGCAAATATAACTTAGAGGGGGTTACTATAAGGTGGGTACATAACTAGCTGGATAACCATTCCCAGAGAGTAGTTATTAAGGGCTCACAATACTGCTGGAAAGGAGTATCATGATTATGAGGGTTAGCTAGCAGCCTGGGGATTAAGGGGTTAACTACACTTAGCCAGGTGGAGTGACCAGTAGGGATGTAGATGGGACTTTCAAACTGAGACAAAGGAATTTGTTTTTTTTTCTTCTCTCCTCTCTGAGCCAGTTTGCTCTCTAGATACGGAGGAAGACGGAAGACATGTCTCTCTCCAAGAAAAAGACTCTTCATTATACTCATAATGTGTAAGTATGGTAAAGTCTAGATAAATCTGTCAGGTTGTATTGTTTTCTGGTTTGGGACTTTGGATCTGATGTCTGTGCTGTTAAGAAATGGTTTCTCCTCTCTTTTAAGTTTTGGCCCATGGTGGAATCCTCCATGAGTATATTAATTGGTGGCTCTTACCACACAGCCATTCCAACTATGCTTGTAACTGGGGTATTGTTTTGATGATAAAAGTTCTTTCTTTTTTATTTTAACCGGTATTGGTTAATTTTTGTGTCCTGGTTTTACTTTAGGGCTTAGGTTTCCTAAGTAACCTCTTCCCTGGTTTTTCTTGTAATACTTGGGTGGTGGTAGTGGATTTTTTTTATTTCCCAAAGTCCAGGTATCAGGATTTGGGGGAAGTTTTTTGTACCAAAGCCTGTAGAGATCAGGTTTTGGGGTGATTTTGTGGGCTCCCATTTCTGCATTCATTGTGCCAGAGTGGGGAATAGCCTTGACATCCTCCATATTAGCACAACATAATTACAGGTTAGAAAAAATACTGGACAGAGCTAGAGCAATAGGTCCGCAGCTAAGCAAATTAAAAAAAAATGTAAATTCAGACTCAGAGACTCAACTTTTCTCCTAAATTAGTTATCTTTATTGATCCTAGGAGACCACAAGCTCTAACAAATATACCACACCCAGAAAATAAAGATAAAGTTTACTGGTTCATAGGAATGGTTAATTTTATTGGCATATTTATACTTAATTTGGCTTCACAAAC